TGGCAATTCGGAGATCTTCAGGGAACTGCCCTCGGTGCTCTGGATTTGCCGGGGCCGATCGCCGGCGATGCGGTAGTGCCCAATCGGATCCTACGAGGACAGATCTGGCCCAATTAGCCAGGAGAATGAAACTCCCATGCGCGGGCCGCACCTCACAGGACGCGCCACACGACCCCGGCGGGGCTGCACCGTGCGCGCCCACGCGAATCAGGGGAGACCACAGAACTGCCCAGTTCCGATCATAAGTGGCTTTCCAAGCCTCGACTACCTGGTAGGGCCCTTTGCTGCCAAATGCACAAAACGAAAAAGCACCCTGGAAGAGAGCAGCGGGAGTGAACGCTAGGTCCCCGCACAGAACCCCCAAGGGTTATTTTCTTCCCTGACACCAAAACTCTGGTAGCCAGGGAGAAATGAAAAAGTCGTTGGCAACAACTAACTGCCCCCAAGTCCAAAAGAGGCCGATCTTGAGCACCTAGCCTCCAACCCGGGTCCCTAAACCATGAAACGGGGAACCCTTTCCCACGCATTTGGATTAAGGTTCCCTTATGGGCAGCAGGTAATGGTATTAGTCACCACTTATTACTAAATTAATATGCGGAGCCACCCAAGAGGAGAAAAGCTACAACTCGCAGCATCTGTTCAAAGCCTGCTCTGCGCAGGGCTCAGAGTGCACTACAATCTCATTTCACCCTCTGGCAATGCTTTGGTGTGCAGATTCTTTGCGCCCCGAGGAGGACTTTGGGGTCAAATGGGCCCATGCAAGGAACTAAAGGTTGCGCTCTGTTAGCGATGCTTCACGCGCTCACTCTTGTTAAGGCCCTGAACGCGGCCCCCTAGGCATCCTGAACCTTTAGGCTCTGAGATATCTAGGGTCCCTGTTCGCCCCGCCCGGGCTTCGACTCACAAGAGAACCGCTTGTGGGGTGGGGAGAGTCGTGGCTCTGAATTGAACAGTGACTTCCTAGGTAACCCCAAAAGGAGACTCTGCGACCCTCTGGACCGCAAGCTTCCAACTGGGGGGTCTCTGAGCCATGGCTGCTTCCAGACCTGGCCAGCCGCAAGGAAGCCGAACTACCTGGCTGCGCGCGCGACAGGAGACCGCGCGGGTGCCCCCTGTATCGCTGGCTTGCCTCACAGCCACGCAGGCAGTTTGTTGGCAAGACCGGAAGCCCAATTTAGTGGGCCGAGTCTAACCACTGGGCTTGTGAACTCCTTTGGCCCTAGGCTGTCCCGACTCATCAAGAGAGCTGTCCATGCAAGGGTTCGAGCAACCCTGCACCAGCCCGAAACAGGCCAAGAAGCCGTGAGGAAAGGAGAGATCCGTGGTACCTGACGGCGCCCGCTGACCTCGGATGGCCGGTGGGCCTGGGCTTTTTCCCTAACAGGGCGCACCGAGCCTGGTGCTTGGATCTTCAAATCTACATTCTTTTGGGCGATAAAATATGTTCTCGTATTTTTTCCTGATTTCCTATTAAACCTTTTGCCTAACTAAACTCCCATCCAACGGGATTTATTTCGTCCCTGGGGAGATAAATCAGGGGGCAAATTTACAACCAGGGAGGCACCTGCCGCGCTAATGGGCCCTTCATGGAGTGCGCAGCCGGCGGGGCGCGCGCAGACGGGCGGGGCGCTGGCCAATGGCCGGGCCGCCGGGGCCCATAGCCAATCAGTGCGCGCGCCGCGCCCGGGCCCCGCGGTTATCAGCGCTTGTGTCCCGCGCGGCGCCGCTCCGACTGGCCCCGGAGCAGTCTTTTCCGCCCGAATATTCGCCGTCCCTCCCGCCGCCGCCCAGACAGCACCTAAGCCACCCGCCCGTCCGCCCCGGCAGTCAGCACCCATCCGCTGCATCCCCGCTGCAGCCGGTGCCCATCCGCGCCGCGCACAAACTTCCCCGGCCGGCGGGCGCGGGCTGCCGCGGCGGGGCCCGGATGGGCGCCCTGGCCAGCGGTGGTGGCGCCCATGGACGCTAACCGCCCGGGCGCGTTCGTGCTGAGCAGCGCGCCACTGGCTGCGCTGCACAACATGGCCGAGATGAAGACTTCGCTGTTCCCCTACGCGCTGCAGGGCCCAGCCGGCTTCAAAGCGCCCGCGTTGGGCGGCCTAGGCGCGCAGTTGCCTCTTGGCACTCCTCACGGCATCAGCGACATCCTGGGGCGGCCGGTAGGCACGGCGGGCGGTAGCCTCCTGGGCGGCCTGCCCCGCCTCAACGGGCTGGCCTCGTCGGCCGGCGTCTACTTCGGACCGGCAGCCGCCGTGGCGCGTGGCTACCCCAAGCCGCTGGCCGAGTTGCCTGGGCGCCCGCCCATCTTCTGGCCCGGCGTGGTGCAGGGCTCGCCTTGGAGGGACCCGCGCCTGGCCGGCCCGGGTAAGTGGTCTGCGCGGGGTTCGGCGCGGGCAGACTGGTGGTGCGGCGCCGGCCGCACTCATTCACCCTCCTTCACAGCCCAAGGCAGCGGGGTCCTGGACAAGGACGGTAAGAAGAAGCACTCACGCCCGACTTTCTCGGGGCAGCAGATCTTCGCGCTGGAGAAGACCTTTGAGCAGACCAAGTACTTGGCAGGCCCGGAGCGCGCGCGGCTCGCCTACTCTCTGGGCATGACTGAGAGCCAGGTGAAGGTGAGCGCAACCGGGGCGGTCTCCGCGGGATCCTGCTAGGCCGAGGCTGGCTCGGGAGCCCGCGTCCTGCGAAGGGATGGCAAGCAGCCGCCCGGCCTCTGCCTGGCCGGCGAGCAGCCGGGCGGGTCCGCGCTCTCAGACGGCAGGGTCAGGGCTGGGCCTCCGAGAGACAGCGAGGCACAGGGCTGGGAGCTTCGGAGGCTCGTCTGACGGTTCCCCTCCACCCCAGGTGTGGTTCCAGAACCGCCGGACCAAGTGGCGCAAGAGGCACGCGGCGGAGATGGCCTCGGCCAAGAAGAAGCAAGACTCAGATGCAGAGAAGCTGAAGGTGGGCGGCTCCGACGCAGAGGACGATGATGAATACAACCGGCCCCTGGACCCCAACTCGGACGACGAGAAGATCACGCGGCTGCTCAAGAAGCACAAACCCTCGAACTTGGCGCTGGTCAGCCCGTGCGGTGGTGGCGCTGGGGACGCCTTGTGAGGACTTGGCCAGGCCACAGAACCAGGGCACTGGGCGCGGCCAGAGCCCCGACGCCAGCTGCCTCGCCGCAGTGTGTATATATATTTTTTACAGAATAAGTTATAAAGCGGCCCCGGGCTCGGGCGCGACGTTCGGGGTCCGGCGGCATCCCTTCGCGTAGGCGTGGGGTGGGCGGATCACTTTGTATAATCAATAAATTATTTAACACGTCTGGGTCGGAGCCGCAGCTCCCGAGGCTGCACCGCGTGTTTTTTCCACACCGAGCGAGATGCCTGTGGGCAGCCAGTCCCCTCCTGCCGCTGTCCGGTCTGTTCTCCCAGCCTGGCGCCTAGAGTGCACGGCGGTAGCGCGCGATGGAGACCCGGGGCCCAGTGTGCGCATCCGGGTCTGAGGCTGCGCGCTCCGCGGCGCCTGGGAGCTCGGACACTGCCAGGCCGGCAGGACTCGAGCCAGAGCGCCGGGAGGGCGGCCCAGCCCGCAACCTTCGGGCGGCGCGCAGAAGGGAAGGAGCCACGGCAAGAGGTGAAGGGCGGAGCGGCACAGATCCGGGCGCTCAGCAGGCGTGGCCCTCCGGCAGGTATGGATTCCACCTTCCGCGGCCAGAGCCCTGGCTCCTGGCATTCAGAAACAGGCGATGCACCATGTAAGGCGTCTTCAATTGCGTTGGTTCGGACGATGAGGTTTGGGTAGACTTAATACATAACTTGGCTTTTCCAAAAGGCGAGTAAGCCACGCGCCTGTCCGCCCACACCAAGCACCCTGTGAGGCACTTTTCCTTTTTTGCAGCTGGGGACAGTAAGCATTGCCCAGTCCCTCTGAGCCGCTGCCGAGCTTCAAGCCAAGCCGGCTCTGCCTGTGTTTCTGCCTTGGGTGCAGGCATTTTGAAATGATTATTTTTAAAGTCTTTTGGCCAGAATATGAAGTGTTTAGAATATGCCTGCTAAACGTACATCAGGTGAAATTGGGGTTGAAATTCTACATCGTGGTCCTCTGGCTACCATGTTAACAGATTTTTTTCATTGCCAGAAAGTACTACTTTGTTCGAGCTAGAACTGCAAAGAGAAACACAAAATAATTGTGCCGGCTGAGGGCCAGCTCACAAATCTCCACGCTGAACCACTCTGGAAAGGCCTCCAAGCCTTTACCCCAGTTCCTGAGGGCTAGCCCTTCAGAAGGTTACATTGCAAGGGGACTGCCAGCCACCAGAAGCTGTTCCTCACCACGAGCAGTTTCCTCACCATGTGGTGTGCCCACCAGCTCTAAAGGGCAGCCACTCCATTACCAAAAACCAGTCTGCTGTGGTGCGACGGGCTGATGCTCCATAGCTGTATCTTAATGGGCACTAAAGTTTTAACTTTATGTTCATATGTAAACAATTATATTACTACAATTATAAGATTTCTCTTGGAACAAATTTTCAAAAACATTTCAGAGAAATGTAGAAGACTTAAATTTTGTGTTTTTTTTTACCATGAGTTTTGCTCTACCACTAGTTTAAAGGAACACTTCTCACTTCTTTTGAGCTGCTGGCAGATTTTCTTTAAAAGGGAGTTATGCTTTTAAAAAAATTTTAAAGGGCTTGGAGTGTCATTTCTGTGAATGAACCATTCTGTCACAGGTTACGAGCAGAGGCATTTCCAGTTTTAAAGTTTTGAGAAAGGCATTTATACAATCCCATTAAAAATGTGGGAGGAACAAGTCTTATTACAGTAAAAAGTCCAATTATTTTCTACTCCCCATTCATAGATGAATGCCTTGTAATAGTTTGCGACAGAGTGAAATTCCAGATTAGGAATGAGCTCCAGAGCAAACAACAGGGCACAAAGGAGGCCACTCCCATTACTTAGCATTTCAAAGGTGATGGAAACTGGGAAGGAAGGAAAACAAAGCAAGCAAAGAACTGTTTTCACCATGATCAATTTTATTGCTTAGGAACCAAGCAGTCACTTCCAAAGGCCTTCGGAATGACCCACAGTTGAAGCCCACAGACAGAATTGCTGCGTGGTGGCCTCGATGTGGCTTGTTGACGACCAGCGACCACAGCATTTAACAGAGACACCGACCAGCGTAGCGTCAAGAACACAGGTCGGCACGCGGACACCAAATGACTCGCGACAGTAGTGATTTCTATAGAAACAAACATCGATCTCATGCTTTTGCAGTCCAGGAACTGTAGTGTTCTGAAGTAAATCAATAAAACGCACGCTTGTGTTTCGTCAACAGGCTCTGCAGTCACCTTCCGACGCTGTGTTCAGTGCTGGGAGCAGAGTGTTGTTGGCAACAGGGTAGTTACACAGGCGTCGGTAGCACGGCCCAGTGTTGCTTCTTTTCCATGTTTTATACAGCTCACGTTAAGCAATCTCTGTGGGAAGCGGACGAGGCTATTTCTAATTCTCCCACGAGATTATGGTTTTTAATGTAGAATATTGGCACCATAAAACGGTAACAAAAGACACAGACAAAACATTTTACAAAATTCTTAAAAGGTATACCCAGGCTAGCTATAAACTTCACATTCAGTTCTTAATGTTACACAGAGAAAGGTAGAGGAGTGACAAACTGCTAGTGCAGAAGTGCAGAGGGGCCGCTCTTGCCCCACAGCACTGCTAGGTCAATGCTGTCTTGGAAACTTGTGTGCCGATGTACACATCCCTAAACTCCTAGACTGCAGTTCTACCCGCTGATATGACACTCGTGCATCCATACTGGAAAGTATATTTAGTATAAGTTTTGGTAAGATTTATAAATTATTTTTAAAAAGTATATATTTATATGTATTTATATATATATAAAAATGGAAAGCAGCTGCAGTGTGATTCAGACACCATGTAACATGGCAGTAGAGTCAGGCCACGGAGGGCCCTTGGGGTGGACACGTATGGTGGCCTCACTGCCTGGGTTGGCCCAGGCACAACTCCTCCTGGCAGAGAGGGATGCTTGACACCTTGGAGTTTCTACGTTGCAGAAGCTCCTCCACAGACAATTATTAAAAATGGAGAACTGTGAAATCTAAAATATGGAATCTCTTTGCTATCCGAGTTTTGGCAACAGGACTATGACTTGTCTTTAAAAAACCAATGTTTCTACTCAATGTCACATGAACAGATACGACAGTGAGGTATGTGAGGCTTTTCCGGAGTGGTCCGGAGGCTGAAGCGAAGTGTGGGGCCGGCCATCTAGCAGGTGGTGCTTGGGCAGGTTTTTGATGCAGCTGTTAGGAGTACGAGTTTCAATATGCTGCTACAGGGAGGTCTCGTGAAGGGTCCTCTCATTGCGCTGGCACCTCTTCCCTGAAGTGGAATTAGTAATTTGTTAAAGGAACAAACACACCAGGAAAAGCTGCAGAAAAGGAGAACTAAGGGAAGGAGTCATATTTACCACCACGTCACTGCACGACACAACACTTGTGCACATGTGCATGAGGTTTACCTGCCCCAGGCGCTATTCGGAAGGCCAGGAACACAGGCTGCAGTGAGGAGAAGAAAGGGGTGTCAGTGCACATGCTGCCACCTCCTACCAGGCCCCTGGCCCTCAAATCTCCTGGGCGCTGGAACCGTGTCCAGAGGAGGTGATGCTAAAACGTGTGCAGAGCAGAGACTGAGTCAGCCTGGACCTGGAGTACAGGAGTGGGGACACAAAAGGCCTGAGACAGCCCTTTTCTGTTTGTAAGGAAGGAGTTGTTTCAGATAAAAATTAGTATAAATACTGGTGTGAGGAACTGCTAAATAAGTCCCAAATGTTGTAGGGATGCAAATGTGTCCATCCTTGGAAATGCACTCAGGGACTACGGCTTCCAGGGCTTAAACACAGAGGAAATAGGTTCATCTAATTTCGCTGAAAATGGGGCATGAGCAGTCAGTCACGTGGTATGACTGCTGATGGGGACTGCTGGGCTGCTCTGGGTTTGGGGCAGTCACATGTGTAAGTAATCTGTTCAGCTCAGCAGCGCCTGTCCCTGAGTCCACTAGGTCTGGATGAGCTCATAACTACTTTGTTTGCTGGATGTAAGCTTGGCACAAGAAGGCCATGAAAATATCCCAAATGCATACTTTAGAAGTGGCCTTCAAAAAATAACCAGCTGTAGACAAAACTTTTTTTTTTTTTTTACAAGTAGTAAAATAATGTATTTTATTCTATGGTGATTAGTCGGTTCTGCTTCCCTCCTATTCAACTATCCTTCAGTATTTTATTAAAACTAAATCAATCAAATCAGACCAGTTTGGCTTATTCAGTAAAGCCAGACTAAGGAGATGAGAGGCTGCCTGCTTGCTTCCCACCCACTGGCCACTCAGCCCCTGGACTGCAGTGTGGCACACATCACCTTGTGGTCTCCCATGCAGACGTTGCGCCCGATGTGGTCATAGGTGACAACCTTCTCCTCACTCTCCGACTGGAAGCAAACAAAGGGCAGTGTGAGGAGGCTGGGGAACCCAATGATCCTGCCAAGAAGTGACAGATAGGGGCTTCGGGGTGTCCTGGGTAGAAGGGAGGAGTGTGGGGTAGTCCCTATGAATGAACAGCTATCACCTGACCTGCTCCCTGTCCTGAGGGGCTCTGGCTAATCAGAGCTGCCCCAGGGAGGCCCTGGCCAGCTATGGGAGAAGATCTACCAGTCGTACACCTTACCACCCCAGCCCAGCTCTTCTGCTGGGTGGGACCCTGATTCTACAAGGACAGAGGTGACATGGTACAAGGGGTCAGGGGAGTTTGGACTTCCCCCAGTTCTCGTTCTAATGCTGTTGTGTGCTACGGGCTCACTCCTTGCTCACTGCAATCACTGCCACTCTGAACTTTCTTTCAAGGTGCTCCTCAAACTGACATAGCTCATCTGTTTTCCATTTTTCCTATTTACATTTGTTTCTGACAGTCTGCTCTATTAACCTAAAACTTTGCACATGAAGATAGAGGCACTGAATTCCATATACTGCACAAAGCATTGTGTACATTTTAATTATCTCCTGTGCGCACACTTCCTTCACCTCTGCAGTGGCTCAAGGCTGGAACATGTTTGTATTTCAGGTGTGATGCTAAAGGCTTTGTTGCTGATAATCAGTCAGTTCTGACTTGGCTGAAGTTTTATATCTGCAGCTGAAGCAGCAGAGACTATAAAGTTAAAACTGAATTATCTTTAATGCAGTAGGAAGCTTAAGGTCAGATTTACTTTCCAACATGGTCGCCTGCCAGAAAGTATAAAAACATAACCTTCGGTACTGCATGCATGAACACTTTCCAATCTTTCATGAGCATAAAGCCGCCTCTGTGGAAGTGGGGAAACATTCATCAAACGCAGTGTGGTAATTTACAAAGGCAGCATAAAATTGTGGATTTTCAACTGTATAATCTTTGGACAGATAAACAAATTACAGTGGGGCACAGGCAGAATGCAGGCACACCTCACTGAGCATTCATCATGGAGGCTCCCAGGCAGCACGCCACCTTCGGTGTTTTAGGGCTCAGGAAGCAGAACGAAACATGATGATGAGGAACTGGAGCATGGCATGATGGATAGCACCACGGAGGCTGTTTGTGGCACCGTCTGCTCATCGTGTATTGCCCACTGCCCACTGGGCAGCCCCCAGGGGAGTGTCTATCCAACTCCAGCCTTGAAGACAGAGCCTCCTTCAAGCCACCAGGGGTATGCTTTGTCCTCGGCTTAGATGAAGAGCAGAGTTTGGTCCCCCACTGTGATTTTAAAGTATGGAACCCTGGGTCTGGGGACCCAAGGGCACTGTGAATGAATGTAAAATATGCTAAAATGCTGCCTTTCTTGGACCTGTCTATAGTCTCTGGCCACACTGACTCTGGCCAGCCTTCTGCCCACCAATGCTTTAGTAGCATGTTATCTTTCCGAGTTTACCACAAAATGAAGTTGTTGTGATCTTAGGTATTTTTCTGGTGGAGAATGCAAGTCATCTTTCTGCCTAAGTCCCCTGAAAGGTTTTGTTCAGCTAGCAGGTGAGAATGTCCACCACATGAACCACCATGTAACCACTATCTGCTTGATTCCCACACTGTCATCTCCACAGAGCTGATTAGCAAGCCCAGATTATAAGGGGCAGGGATGTGTCCAAGGCTGGGCCCCTGAACTCATCCTGCATCTTTGGGCTCCTGGCCAGGGTCCAAGTTCAGCTACATTCAAGAAAGCCTCAGCAAGAGAAGGATCCACAGTGGCCTCTCCTCAGTGATGGCCCTGGATGAGAAGGTATAGGCAAGGCATAGGCCCTGTCCCAAATCCAGAAGGTAAGCAGCCCACCAAAGCTGTCCTGAGTCAGCCTCCTGCCCCACTCAAGCTCAATGCAGACCCAAGGGGCTTCTGCCCAACAAGCCCTGTCTCTATCTATTCCTGGCTGCGCCAAGTGGGTTACTCTTCATGGCCAGGAACTAAGCACTGGTTTTTCCTGGGATGCTTTAGGCATGGGGAGGATTGAGGGGGCCAGTACTATATGTAGGGACATTAACCGTACACCAAAGGCCAGCAGGGCCTCTGTGGGGTGGCTGGCAGGGCTGTCCAACAACTTGGGAGGGAGGTCCTCAAGGGGTAATGGGGTGTGTGGAAGTGGTATCATTTGGCCCAGGGACACACACGGGCAGATGAGGGTAATTGGAACCCAACCAAGCACCACACCAAGGTGAGGACTGGTCAGAGGGGGCCTAGGTGGCAGGGACAAAGGGAAGAAGTGACAGAGTCCCTAGCCCACCGGGAGCCACTCGCATCTCCTGACTCCTACTAACCACTAGCCCCTGTCAAGGTCAGAGACCTGCAGCTCTGAACACAGCATCAAACTGCTGCTTCCACATGAATCCCTGTGCTTTACCGTTACATTTTCACTGAAAGGGGTAACAAAACTAATTCGGATTCCTTTGAAAATACTCCTTGTATGTTAACATGTAGGAACTGAAAAACCCTGGCTCTCCTGATCTCCTGAGAATGACACCCATCCCATTTTAACTTCTTATTGAGCCCAGATATGAACCTGGCTGTGACTTGTAATGACAGACATTTCTACTACGTTTCACAGCTTATAGACTCTTTCATGGATAAGAGTGCACTGAACTCTAAGGATTCAATAAACTATGATTTTCAGACTACTGCCTGGTGATCACTTATACATGTTTCTACCCAAAAAGACAATGGCACTCACTGGGACTTGAGCCATGGATGAGGAGGCAACCACAGCTTCAGTTCAGCTTACCTAAGGAGAAGGCCTGACATGGAGCATTTCTAGGCTAAGCAGCTCACCCTACCTGGTCCCTGCCCTGGCTTTTCCTGCAGCTGGTCCCAATGGTGGTTCGCACTTACCCTAAGGACCAGCTCCTTGGCAGACAGAGACATGAGGATGCGGTCACACCACGCGGGGCACCGAGTGTTCATGTACTGTTCACCTTGGCTGGATTCCTCGCTGTATGGGTAACTGGGGAAACACAGAAGCACAGGGTCAGCAGTACACTGACTCTAGCCATCCTGTGTTACAAAGGAAGGCTGTGCTATCCAGAGAAAGAACACATGCACACAAGTTTCAAAAACACAAAGCCAAACTTACAACTTAAGTTTTCATATCAAGCAACTCTCTGTGTGGGTCTACAGATAACTCAGGTCAATCCAGCTGCACATATCTCTCCTCCACCTTCTCCAATAGCCTAGGTGCTTAATGTGGGAAAGGTCCAGATGTTCAGAAGGCCATGACCCTGGGGTCATCAAACTACAGTGGGTTGTAACTGTCCCTGGCTTACTGCTCTCTTGGGCCCTGTCCATTCCCTCTGAGGGTCTGAGAACGAGCTTTACCCAGCACAGGTGATGCATGACTATCAAGTGATGACCAGAGTGGGCAGTTGCCTCAACCCCAACTAGGCTTGCTAACCCATGTGTTGAGTGCATCCTGCATCATCGTGGACTGTTTGTCCCTCAGACAACTACCACCTGTCCCCAGCACTGTTCATCCTGCCTCCTGAGTGGCCCCCACTGGCTTGACTATGTCTCTACATGTCACCAGCTCCCTCATCCACACAAAGAGGATCCAGAGACCTATAGGTCCAGCTGCAAGTAACCACCAGCTTCCTTCTCTTCCTGAAATGAACACCTTGGCCCTGTGCCAGGGCATAGCGCCATCTCAATGGACCCACCTTAATCTACCATTCCATTTAAGATGCAAACCCATCACAAATAAGCATGTTTGTGGCCCACTAAATGCAAACTCACTAAGAATAACCGAGTCTGGGGAGAATCCTTATCTATTTAGTTGCATATCTTAGTGTAGTACACATGCTCACTCACACTGCTTACAGTTTTCAGCAGACTCTAAAGATGGTCCTTGTAAAAGTTTAATGTGTTTTTTAAGCTTAAATCCAAAATGCCACATAGTGTTTGCTGAGAATGGCACTCACTCTGTTAGATTTTCCTGTTAGCTTTCCTGGAAGAGGAGAGTGCTATTGATTTTCCAGACTTAGGCTGTCATAGGCACCTGTCACATGTTGATTCTGTGGGCCTTCTGGGAGGGACTCATATCACCTATATGCCTGGCCTCTTCTCTTACTGCCCATGGAGAGGACCTAAGGCCTATCATCCCTGTGTCTCAACCACCTGAAACGGCTTGGTGTCTCAGAACACATTTTCTGTCTTTGCTCTCTAGAGAGATCAAACTGGGCTTATGACTCATGATTCTTACAGAAAAGCACCACTTTATCAGATTAAAGACACAGATTTGGCTAAAAACAAACTTACATAGTTTTTAATGATGACAACATTGTCTTTTTAAAGAACAGAGAATACAAGTAACTTATGTATTTTTCTTCTTCAGGGAAAACAGCCAGTCAATGGCCTGTCCTATTTCTACACATTTAAAATGATAGTTATCTCGATCAAGTGTTTCTCAGTTTATCCCAACTATGGATTATGAACTGAAGCTCAGGCCCTACTGGAAATGCCCTGTACACATTCTAACACAGACCCCTGAGGAATGGCACTGAGGCCCAGAGCAGGCTCCCTGCACAGGCCCATAGCCCCAAGAGCTGTACAATCAGGCCACACAGATTTTCCCCAGCTTCCAAAGAATGATGGATGAACATGCTGAGTCATTCAGCTGGAACAACCCCCATATCGGTCAGGGTGAGGACAGCGAGGGCTCTGGGTGGTCTGTAGAGTATAATGTGCTGTGGTCCTCTAGTGGCTGCGTTGGGCCAGAAGTTCTTTGCTATGACCAACGAGCAGGGTACCTTCACTCACCAGAAGTCCAACCTTTTTCTAATACTCAAGTGCAGTAGATGGACATACTAGAAGGAGTACTGTCTGGCTGACTTTTCCATGAGAAATGTGTAGAACAGGTTCTTCTTGATGATTAAGATGTGTGATCTCCTATCCTGTTGCTGTTGCCTGGCTGTCTTCAGACATGGGTTTGGTGTGCAGCTGACATGGTGTACAACAGAATCCCGATAAGGACCAGCCTAAAAAGCATCACTGGGAGGTGCCAATTTGCAGGGAAACAGACTTGAACCCATGTGCTCTTAGAAACTACCATTTCAGGACAAGACAGCTGCAATGTTGTTACCATGGCAGAAAATTCCCCTGTGAAAGCCTGCTGGTCCAGGGATCTTCTCCAAAGGCTGTGCCAGGATGTGCCTGAAGGACTGAGTCTATTATAAACACTAAGATCTGGATCTGAAATGCTGTGGGTGACTTTTAATTGAGTTTACAGACAAACAAATTCCATTCTTCACACTGAGGAAGAGCACGAGAGCTTATGTTGACCCATGAAGCCAGATCTGGCAGGCTAGGGTGACCCCTTCTGTCTATAGGGATAGGACCTGATGGGTCCTGCTTGGATATAATGGGCTCTATGCCAAGTCACAGAATAGCCTAGAGTGGCAGGAACAATTCCTTATGTTGTCCTTCAACCTAACCTGCACCCGGAAGGTACAGGCCTCCACAGTCCCACATGCCTCTGACCCTTTTGGGGCTCAGGATAGATCCTGGCTGCCATGGGAGAATCAACAGGCTGAGGGATGTTCTGGCTGGGTTGGACTGCAGGGCCCAGCTGTTGGAGACAGCATACTCACCCCTACAGCCTTGGGGTGGGTTACTTTTAGGGTATACTCTGACACCCAAAGAGCAAATGCAAAAGATTCTGATGCCGGACAAGTCTGAGGAGGCCCATGTGAACCATGGGGTCCCATTTCCTCCTCCCAGCTGCAAGGCTACTTGCAAGACACCTGGGCCTGGATGTGAGCTGTCCACAGATGATTAATGTGAGTAGTGCCTTATACCAGACTTATCTGGAAGCAAACCTGCATGGGGTGGGAGGCAGGACAAGTTGGCCCTATCTCAGCCCTGTACAGCTTCAGGAATAATCGTCATAATTAATTGCAGTGGTGATAAAATTAACAATCACCCACCTGTGCTCTCTGGGCATGCCACCTCCCTTCCTCTTTACCTCTTACACTCCTTCCCTCAGGATGTGGGCAGCAGCAGATTGTTTGTCTGGCTGGGCTTTTGGATAGTGTTGCCATGGCCCCTGCAGCTACAATACTATGGCAGGGCACAAAGCTCTGCTAAGTTTTTGAGTCCTACAGGGCTGAGAACAACTGGAAGGAGGAAAGTCGGGTGGGTGGGATTCCACAACTCTACTATGATTCTCAGCCCTTCCTGAACCACAAGCAAGCAAGCAAGCAAGCAAGCAAGCAAAGGTGTTTGCACAGGCTGCTTTCAGAAGGAGAGTTGGAGGCTTGGCCCCACTTCTCCGGGGGTGGTGAAAGAACAGGCGGGGACCCCACCTCTGCTTTCACCTGGTAAAATATTAACAGGTCCCAGTTGCTCAGCAGCTCTTGTGATGGGTAATACAGCTGCCTCAAAGGTATCAAGCTCAAGGATAACTCAGTATGTCACAGAGGAAGATAACTCTCACATGCATCCACAGCCACAAGTGTATCTCTAAAAACCACTTCTATATCCATGGAGCCCTGAAGACACAGTAAAACATGACGTTTCAAAGATACCAGCTGCAATCAAAATGCCTGGTGGTGGTGGGAGACTAAAATTAAAGAAAAATAACTGAACAATACAGACTGTGGCAATACTGAAAATTATTCAGTGGAAGAATTTAGCAACCAAAGTGTCATAAGAAGGCATCTCGGTGGCTGGGGAGCTGGAGGTCAGGAGCCTGCACTGGCTCTTTGCCACAGCCACAGGGGCAGCTGCTCACACTTGCTCTTACTCTGGGGATGACCAGGGCTTTTATGCATAAACCATTCCCTGGCTGTTCTCACCCTCGGTGCTGACTCTCACATCTGCGAAGGCCGTATCAGGGCTCAGTGACCAGCCAGCTGGACAGATGTCCTAACTCCCTGCCCAAATACTCAGCTCTAGCAAGAAGGCTCATCCTGTTCATACTTGTTCTACATAGATAATTATTATTACATTATAGACACAAATTCAAAAAACTGCGGAACTCTACATTATGGCTCACAGAGAATCTTAAAGGAGTCTCCTAGTCTTTAATTTTTAGTAAAGGTACTCATTGACGAGGACAACCCAGGGCACTTTCCTGTGTTGTATACATTTTGTCTTTTTCAAAAGCTAAAACTGATTTTATTTTATAATTTGTTAAATAAAAGTATCCCATTTCATTGCTGTGAATTAATCTCTTTGGGAAGGAACTCGTTGTCCTAATTAACTCTTAAATAAGTTCTTTGAAATGTTTTGAATGGTAGATATGAGACACTTAAATTTCCCATTTTTTCAGTGAACTTCATGTTAAAGTGTAACATGTATAAGGCAAAGTACAAAAATGGAAGGGATGTTCCCTGGCAGAGATGACCCCAATGCCAGGAGGGTCTTGTCTGAAGCTAATTTTACAGAAAGGGCATCTTGCAGCACTCAGTGCTCTGCATAGGCCTTGTTTACCACACTGTGAGTTTAGGTTTATCCTCAGAGTGGGGCAGGAATGTTCTCTGCTATTCGGGCTGTGAGGTAACATTCCACTTCAGTTTTGAATATCGATTCTACTATTTGTGGGTTTTAATTGTTTCCAGTTTGGGACTAATTCTTGGAGAGTGGTGTGGTCCTTCCAGGGGTCCAAAATGTAAAGCTGTACTACAGTAACAGTAAGATGACTAGCTATTTCCAGCGTAGATGCTGCACCAATGGGGCAAAGGCCACTGTGGCCTGAGTGACAACCAGGCAGCAATTAGGCCATGTAGGAGCATCGTCCTCCCCAGTGTCACACACAGCTATGCAGAAGCCAGGGTCACTTACAGGTCCCCTGGTGAAGCAGTTTAAATGCTTACTTCTGTGGAACCCAACACCTGGGAAATATAGTTTTTAGGATTCAGCAGGATAATCTGGGTGTATCTAGGAGGCACGCTGGATTCCCCATGTTCGTGTCTAACAGACAGTGCTGCTGTGTCTGTGCTGTCAGTTTTTCGACTGCTTGTTTTCATGGAACACCATTCCTGCAGGCAGACTGATATACAAGTGCACTTAGGCAGGCAAGGTAGCTGGCAGACATCTTCTCGTAAAGGGATGAGATGAGCTTGCCTTTCCAGGGAAGCAATTAATATTATTTGTTGCCAACAACAAAATTCAAGCTTTCAATAAATATCCAGAATTTTGGAAAACATACTTGCTCCTCTGCTGAGGCTGGAGTGTCCTGATGGCGGTGCCATTAGCTTTGTGAGACAACCTGACATCTAACACCTGCCAAGGTTGGCACCCATGATTTCCAAACAACTTACACCTGCTGCCACCCAGCAGGAACATGGGCCAAAGACCTACTCCAAAACCAGGGACCAGGGACCAGTCCATGGGGGATAGTTTCAGATTCCACACTGCAGCAAGCTTCTAAGAAATCACTGTTTCTAAAAGTTAAAAGAAAGTTAAAACATCTAACGTCTTCAGGGGATGGTTCAGACATCTCACCCATGTCCAGCAGATATCTGTCTGAGGGAGGTCAGCTCTGCTCTACATGCTCCAGCCAAATTTTACAAACATTTGGAAAGATAAATTTGTTCTCACAAATTTTTTGTTTGGAAAACATTTTTTTTCATAAAATGTCACTTATGTTAACATGTAATGAGTTTATTATTAAATGAATTTAATAGATACTTAGAATTCATACAAACTCTCTATAGATACAACCCACAAAAACAAAAGCTCCGTGGGGTGCCCCAAAGTTCTAAGAGTGTAAGGAGGTTCTAGACTAAACTGGTTGAGCATGACTCTCTAGGACATGTTCCCAAAACAATGTTCAGTGCCAGTCATTTTGATGGTGGGACATACTTTTCTTAATAAATAGGAAGACTCACTATGCTATTTAAGAATGTCTACAAATACTTTGCTATTTATTTAGAGCACAATGCCATAAACATGATAGACACTGTCACCTTTAGTACATAAGGAGCTCACACAGAGACGAAAAAGAGATCCTGTCAGCCGAAACATAGATCACATGTGTGACTCACACAGGGAAGATACAGGTGGTGTTCAAATTTGGGGAACTGTTCAATCTCTAGTGCCATGAAGCCAATATGATGGCAGGAAGGACTGGGAAAGCCTTTGCTGCCAGGATCGAGGCTCTGGCCTCAGTGAGGTGAGGCTTTGCAGGGGCTGTCCCAGGAGAAGGCAGAGCCATCTGGCTCAGCCACCCTGAGGAGGAAGCACCCAGGCAGATGCTGAGGCCACAGGTAAGCAGTATGCCAGAGTCCCACATCAAAGTATAAAGATGTGGCTGTATAGCTAAATTCAATTCCCAGTACCAGGGGGTAGGGGAGGGGGGATAGAAAGAAACAAAGAAAACAAGATGACACAAATTCTCAAGGCTGTGGACAGCACTACATAGTGCTGGGTCAGGAGTCCAGGCAGACTTGGCTTGGGGTCTCAAAGGCCAAATCAAGGTGTCAGCTCTGCTCTACCTGGGGGTTGGGGTTGTACTCCCAGGCCTACCTGGCAGATGGGTCCTGTTTCTTCGCTGGCCTTCAGGCTGGGTTGCCCTCAGCTCGTATCTTCTTGTGCTTTCAGCCAGTATGGCACCTGAGTCCACCTTACAACTCTGAACTTCCCTCCTGCCCATCTCTCTCTGCCTTCAGCCAGAGTTCTCTACTTTTGAGGATGCATGTTATTCAATTGGGCCCACCTGGGTGACACAGGCTACTATCTTAAGGATATTCTCCTTAACTGCCTCTACGAAGCCCCTTTGGCAAGTGACATAACCGATTCGGGGAGAGGTACATTTGGGGGACACTCTGTGATAGCTTATCTTGGCTGTCAACTTGACTGTACTTCTGAATATGCCTGTGCGGGTCTGTCCAGACATGACTGCCTTGTAGGTCAGTGAACAGAGTGTGGAGGACCAGCCCTGATTATGGGCAGCACCACCCAACAGGTTGAGGGGCCAGATGGAACAAAAAGTGGGAGGAGGAGGAAGCTTGCATGCACAAGATTGAACTCTTCAACCCTTGAACAAGTGTATTATTTTGCTGCTGGCATCACTTGTGGACATTAGACTCCAGCTTCTTGAGCATATGAACATGGATTCACACCCAGTGAGTAGGGAAGTCTTCAGCCTCAGACTGGAACTGTATCATTGGTCCCTCTTGTTCTGTTCTGAAGCTTCCAGCTGCTTGTACTGAGCAGCAACTGATTTCCTTTGCCCTCCAGCCTATGGGCAGCCATTTGGGACAATGCAGCTTCCGATCCTGTAGGCCAATCTAATAAATCCTCCCTCATAATTACATACATGTACACACGCAGGCATGCATTTTATTGGTTCTGTTCCTCTAGAGAACCTGAATTAATACACCCTCCAACCATACTAACCAATCATACTCCATGGGCACTGAGGGCAGGGCCACCTCATTTTTCTTTTGGCACCAAAGTCCCACCTCTAAAAACCCACAACTGCTTTCCTCTCCCCTGTCCAGGGAGAAACACATCCCAGAGAAGCCTAGGCAGAGCTGAAGGACCCTGTTTCCTTAGAGTAGGTCTTGGTGTTCAGTGACCCTCCTTCCCAGAAAGCTTGTGCTTCCAATCACTAGGAGCCCACCAGGCAAGGAACCTAAGCTGATGCCATCTTCTCAACCTTCCAGAACATTCTGGTGTGGTAAATGTGGCCCCAGGCCTGTGAGAGCTGACTCCAGCCCCTGCCTTGGTGTGAATGGTAGGCCCCTCTGCTGCTTTGGGAGTTAGGGCTCTTCCTTGCCTACCTAGGCCCTGACCACAAAGCCCTTCAATTCCTGGCCTGGCCAAGTCCTGCTCTGTATTTCTGGTGCTAAGTAAGTTTCAAGCACTGGGAGAAAATCTCAACTGGGCCAATGAATGCCACAGGGTGGGGTCCTTGCCAGTCCAGTAGAGCCCAAGGAAAGACATCTTTGAGCTTTCTTGCAGCATTCTGTTGTTCAGAGGGAGGGATATTCAGGATGTCTGACTTGCAGAGGCAGGAATCAGAGCAAGTGCTGAAATCAGCTTTAGATTGAGGGTATATATAAAAGGACATTGCACTGAGCATCTGACTGTGATCCAGAGTATTCCCGGGTACCCCTGGACTCAGAGCTGCAAGTCGGTTCCCTGGGGGTGGAGGGTCATCTCCCAGAGCCTCACTGCTACGAGTTGCATGTATGTGCCTGGGCAATGACAACCTGAGGATGTGTGGGGCCTGCAATCCCTGCTACTCCAGCCCCCTAAATTCCACTCAACGGTTTGGGCAGCAGGCTCCTTGCCAGAGGGGTAAGACCTCCCCTGACCCAGGTCAGAGGGGTACAGGCTGGCCCCACAGCTAAAGGGCCTCAGGAGTCCTGGGCCCTGTACAGGGCAGGGGTTCCTTCCAGGTTGCACATGTTTGACCACTGACACCTGGCACAGTGATGGGGGTAACTCTAGCAAGGAGGGTGAAAGGCTGCTTGGCTGTCAGGCACCTTCTAGGTGCATGACTGCTCGTTCCAAGATAAGGATATGAAGTGTTTACCACTGGGCTGGGTGCAAAACAAGTGGGTGTGAGACAGGTACCACACAGGCATGATCCTTCTTGCTGTCATGATTCACATGTCTGTTAGAAAGTGTCTCTATCACTGCAGGTGTGCTTTTCACCCTGAGCACGAACATTTTTAACTTGGGATCTAAGAAAGTGGGGAGAAGTGCTATAGAGGCCTGTACCTATAATGGAGCATCTCTGCCCTTGGGCAACCACCTCTGTGTGTGCTGCTTCCAGATGGACACTGTGTCCCAGAGGCCCCAGTGGGCAATGTTGTACCCTCCTCAGGAAAGCCCAGCATAGCCAAGGCAGCCATGGTGCAGAGCACTGCAGGCTCAGGTCTGGTCACATTTCCTGGCCACTTTCTGTCAAATCATTCGTCTTTCTTAAGTCATAACTCTCTGTGGCCCTGGAATAGTCTGAAGTGAAACACTGTTACTGATGTAAATTTCAAGATTCCACAAATGTCAGAGTAAAACAGAGAAAGCTTACTTGCCTGGGAAAGTCAGACAGACCCAGAATTCCTCTGGGACCCTGCACCATTGTGTGGGGGGGTGGGGGTGGGGGGGTGGGGAGGTTAATGCTGTCAACATTCCCAGAAAGATCCACAAATACAACGGCCCAGCTAACCCCATGTGTGCTGACCTAATATACTTGACCTTATTTTGCATACTTGAAAAAAGATCTTTAAAATAGTAAGAAAGTAACAGTATTATTTATTACTGTCGGTTAGTTTTGTTCTTAGGGCCAGTGCATTTAGTACACATGCATACTGACACAAGTGTACACATGTACACAGATGCAGACACACACATAAATGAGCACATGTGCACTGACACACAAACGGGCCTGAGCAGGAAAGGTTACCTGGTTCATCCAGCAAGGGCAGTGTGCCTTACCTGGGGGGAAATGAGATGTCCAGTTCATACAGTCTATCCTTAAAGACAGACAACTCTTTGTCAAACTCCAAAAGCTAAAGAAAAGATAAGAAAATAAAGTCACCTTGGTTTTCCTCACTGGGGGCACAGTGCTCTGTGTGCATCTGGGATGTCTATAACTTCCTAGGAACCTACAGGGCTCAAGCATTTGGTCTGACATCTGCCCTACCTAGGAGCTGCTAGGTCAAGTCACCAGAAAGATCTGGGGTGCCTTCCCACCCAGCTCTGATGACCAACTGTCTCTGCTGTGAGTAGCGCAACCTGCAGCTCTTGGGCTGCTTGGCTCTGCTCACTCAAGACACATGCAGGCACCCTAACACACTCATGCCCTGGGGCAGGGACTAGGAAGCTCTCACCAGTGTGGAAAATCCTTTCTACAGAAGGGACATTGCTCCTGCTGTGCCAATGACTAAAGTGACGCACATAGCAAGTGATGTCAACTTTGAGTAGATCATTTCCACATTGGTATGATTCTGACAACTCAGGAGGAAATATTCATTTCTACATGCACAGGGGGCAGCAAACAGCCCATCCCCTTGGGATGCTTCAGAGACAAAGTCAAGAGGGAATTGTGCCCCCCTGGAAGGAATGAGTCTCCACTGGCTGCATCTCTGGGTGATCACCATGCACACCCTCTGGGACATTGTTCATTAATCATGTCCCACCCCACAGCTGTGTAGGGGCAAGCCATTGAACTGGGGCTCCCCTCAAAACCATACCGTGTCCTTGCTCCTTCTTGCCACCTCATCCATCATTCCTGAACATGCAATTAGCAGCATCATGTACACAGTAATTACCTATGTGCCAGGCTGCTACCTGCCCACCTGCACTGGGTTTCCTGCCTATTCTCCAACAGAGTGCCACCTTTACCAATCAGCATTTGGTGGGCCCCACTCCTGCTCATTGGCTGGTATGTTCTGGGGCTGAATCGAGGTTAGATCACAGGAAATAGCTGCAATCCCCATCAGAAGTAGTAGTGCTTATGGTGAAGGGACAGGAGGAGTAAGCCAAAGCCCCTTTAAAGCAAGGGACCATTCAAACAGAGCTGGCTTATTTCAATCTTACACCATCAAAGCCATATCCTGCAGCAACCTAGATGTTCAGAGACATGAGCAAGAGAGTCCCAAACTGCCTTTTGTGACTCAGATACCAATGCTAGGGGCCTGGACACTAGAAGGTATCATATGAATCAATCTCCCGTTAGTGGGGAATAGCCACACCAAACCTCACCCAGCTCAATGCTGTTCCTTGCAGCTACCAGGCTGGGATGGTGGGTTTCCAGAGCTGAGGCAACACAGCAGGGAGCACCAGGTCTGGCAGGCAGGTGTTGGGAAGGCTGTTGGCTTCAGTCTGGCATTAACATGGCGTTGGCCAAGATTAACAAGAACAGTAACCACTCTGGCTCTGTAGCTGCCTGTCTGGCAGGCAGCTTTTCCTAAAAGGCCTAGATGGGAGCACTTAGGGGATGCTGAGATTTAGAAAGGTCCATGGTCAACAAGTGCCTCTGAACAAACTGTTGTGGCTCTTGAAATGCAACTTTCAGAGTTTCACAAAAAGAAGCTTCTCTTATTTTTCCTTACGTTTTGAAGGGAAGTCCTGGAATGTCAGGCATTACCCAGGCCTCATCTACGAAGATGGGTACAGGCAGAAGCCCTGGTTTCAGTGACTGGCCCTGGGCAGCCCCAGCACTGTCCCATAGCACCTCCCAAGCACCTCACTAGGAGACACTGGGCAAGGAATCCTCTGGAATGTAGGCCTGCACACTCAGAAGGGAAACAGCTGGCACACTCCACGTAGGGCTTCAGGGAGGTAGCTGTAAGAGAAGGGCTCAGGCTCCACAAGGAAGCTACAGGCTGGGCATGTGCTGCCCCATGGCCACTGAACCCAGAGATTGTACACAAAGAACCACTTTCAAGGATGCTTGAGAAAACTGACCTTCCATTCATGTGAGATGGGTATCAACCTCCATGCAGTGCACAGTGTTGCTGTGGGGGTTTGCCTAAAATTTCCAATTAAAGAGCAGATGACTAATATAAACATGAACACACACATGCAAGTTACAGAGAAGTGGGGAAACTCTGAAAAGGAGGAAGAATTGGCCTGAGGCTACTAGGGAGTAACCGGTTAGCAAGTGGAGGCCATTTATTATTCCCTCCCAGCTTGACTACCTGGGGCTCATCAGTGGCCATTCTGTCTAGGGTGGCTGCACTGAGGTACTACTCAGCAGACTGAGGCCACCGTTTCATTACCCCTCCCCCATTTTCAAAAGTATGAAGTAAAAATAAAGGAATCAAGTATCTGCTTTGAAATGAATTTGATCTTTAAGCTGCTTCAATAGTAACAGAGGCCAAGAGGAATGGACTAGGAACTCTGGGCCTCCTATAAGCCACCCTCACCCACATGTGTTCATCTGATACTGACAATGTAAGGTCCCCCAGGCTCAAGTCCCCAGCCTCCATACTAAAAGAAAAATTGCCAGGTGATAGCCCTCTCTTTAAATTACCCATTGTTGACTGCCTTTTTTTTTTTTTGGTCCTGGGGATCGAACTCAGGACCTTGTGCTTATGAGGCAGGTGCTGTGCCACTGAGCTAAATCCCCAGCCCCAAAGTAAATTTTTTCTTTTTTGGTACCAGGGATCCAACCAGGACCTTGGGCTTTTGAGGCAGGCCCGGTGCCACCGAACTAAATTCCCTACTTCCCTGATTTTTAACACAGAAATATCCTGAAATTTGAAAAGGAACATATTCTGATTCATACATGCTTATTTGGTGTCTGCAGCATGCCAAGTATTTGCTGACCATCAACAATCACTGCCCTCCTGGGGCTTCACGTCTAACGGTGACACAGAGATTAATATGAAAGCCACACAGGCAAATGTAAAACTGTTCCATGACTGTGTGGAGGGCAGACACAGGTGGCCGCACCAGGTGCCACTCAGCCAGCTGGCTCCGACAGGCAGTGGGACCCTCACCATGTGTGACCAGTGTAGAGACTGATCAAGTTTCCAGCCCTGAAACATCAACATGAAATGATGTGGATTAAAGCCTCTACTACCACCAGCACAAAATATCAGAGATGTTTCTGATTAGAAATCACATTGCATTTCTGTTGAATTGATAATTTGTATCTCTTTGAGATTTTTCACAAACATGATAACCAATTTCACATGTGTCTTAAACATTCTTCCTGATTACAAAGTGAAAAACAGCGAAGGCCATGTGTGGACAATGATAAAGCAGCTGCTGGTCATACGTATCTGTCAGGAGCTGTCCCAGCTGCACAAATTCCACTGTTGCTGCAGAGACACTGAGCTGATAAAGAAAAAAGAGCCCAGAAAATCAATGCATTTGGAGCTTGGGCGGTTGCTAAACACACAGAAAACATCTCTATCCAACAGGCCAAGTGCCTCGAAAATTCCCAAGCCCTGCCCTGGGACAGCCAAGGAAAATTTAATCTCTCCAAATCCTCACCAGGGCACTCCATCCTGCAGCCCTGACAGCCACACTTATAATTAATTATACAATTTCGATGAGAATATCGACTAAACAAAGCTATAAATCATAGAAAAAGTCAATAGGCATGGACACATTCAATCATGTCCCGGCCAATGATTACTACTCTTAAAATACAATAATTATTTTCAGGAGCCAGCTTGAATTAAATTTCTGTCAGACGGGTACAAGACCCATGGTTGATGAAGGATGCGATGGATTTTGGGGGCTGAGTCCAGTGTAGGCACATCCATTCTGTGGATAGTAGTTTGTTTTTAACGTTCATGGCGCAGCGTGTTTAACTAGACCATGAAGATGAGATTATCTCTCATGCTCATTAGGCCATTTATCTTGTCCCTCCAGGGCCAGTGGGAATGACTCCCATATTCTAGTCATGACTGACAGCAGCTGATTCCTCTACAAGCCACATAACATGAGTAGGGGCCTGGGCCCACACACATCAGCATCAGCCCCTTAGACACTTTTAAGGGCACCGTGTCTCAGAACCTGAACAGCAAGGTGGGCAAGACTGCAGTCAAAGGTCCTGCTCACTTCAGGCTCTTTGGAGAAAGTACACAAACCTGATCAAGGGGGCGGAGACCACCTGTACTCTGGGCACCTGCAAGCCCAGCCTCTTTCTGGATAAGGTTCTGGACAGCACACATCGGATGGGTCTACAGGTCCTTCTGAAATCATCACATGGGAATATCTTCTCTACTTCAATTCAACTATAGTTTTTCATATTAGAATCATATCCAAAAGTTTTGAAAATTTAAACCGGTATTCTTTAAAAAGATATAAAACTGTCATGTAGTGAATGCACAGAAGATCAACACTTATGGCAAAACAACACTAATCAGATCAAATGCTAGGAAAACCACACATGACCCACACACACACGAGACACTGTCCTGATGCTTCCAGAACCCGCATGCCTTCCACCTCCACCTCCAAGGCACTGCTCAAGCTTAGGCTGTTTTCTCCTCAGCTGCTTGAACTCCTTCTCACCAGTCTCCTTGCTCTTTCCAGAATATTCTGTTCCCTCAGCCACCCCAGTGGATTCCTCAAAGGGATCCTCTATTCACTTTCTGCCTTGCACAGGGGCCTGGGTGACCTTACTTCTATAGGTCTGAGGGGATGGCTCTGCTGGGGATCCCATAGCACTCGACCCAGGCTCCAAGCTCAGATGGCCATGAAGCTATGAGGGATAGCCCCCATGTCTCCTGAGCATCTGACTTCCACACACATTCTCCCATCTACTCTACTGAAGTGAGTTGGGATGCTGCCCTCTCTGTGTAGACAACAAGCAAGATGACACAGCCACTGTCCTAACGGACCCACCTCTCTAGCAGGAAATACATGGAATGTTAAGTTTACATGACTAAGCATGTAAAGGACACTGGTGGGCATCTGAGGAAAGTCAACTTTACCAGGCTCTAGAGCAGCTATGGTGAACCTTTTAGAGCTTTCAATGATACAAACAACCTGCTGTGGTATGCATGCCATAGAGGCCACCACTGCCACCACTGCCACCACTGCCCTAGAGGGCCTGAGGAGGAAAAGGGGAAGGGGAAGGGAAAGGGAAAGGGAAACTGTGAGAAAAGTGCATGTGTCCTGGTGTGGGGGTGGAGGGTTCCCCGTGGAAAAGCAAAAATAGATTCAGTGATGCCAGTGATCAGGCTTCTAAGGCAAATGGGATGTGAAATGAGAATGTGGCTGAGGCCTAACCCCATGCAGCAGGAGAGAGGTTCTATGCCTAGGAGGGGGAGATGATTCAGGCACCATGAAAAGAGTCTAGGGCAGGCACCAACCAGTGGAAGAGATGTAGGAGTCATGGAAGTGTCCAGGTTCTGGGTTGAACCAGTGGCAAATGGTAGATATTTCTCAAGAAAAGAGACAGAATATGGGGAGAGTGTGGATCTGGACTCCATGGAGATAAATCGAGGCACCCAAAGTCATCTAAGACAAGCCAGCAAAAGTGCATTGTGCACATGTCCCACAGTGCCTGACCTGCAAAGCCTGGGTCTGCCCCAGCACCTGTACACTCTCGTTGCAACATGTTCCTCACAGCACCCCCGTCCCCACCCATGGCAGCCCTTGTTGGGGCTACAAGTGGCTATGACCAGCTTCAAGAACCAATCCTGTACTTTTCAAGAAAGTAAAGGGTGCTGACTTGGGCACTGGCTGTTAAACACCACTGTCACACTGTAGAATGGAACCTTCCACAGAGGGAGTTTATGCCACAGAAACTGGCAGATGTTTTAAGGGCACCCTCACCCAGCACTGATCCACATTTACCAGAACATAAAGTTTCCAAGAAATATCTGTAAATTCATTTAAAATGGTACACAAGTATACTACAATAAAAAAGTAACAGCTTAAGAGTACAGTAGACCACCTTTCAGTGTAGGACTGCAGGCGGCCCTCCCAGGGAAGGCCGGGGGCTCAGGAGTGAGGGCAGAGTCCTAAAGTTGGGGCTACCTTTGGCAGTAGCCACACTCTTAACTGATTTGAGCTGCATGTTCCCTTTAATGTGCAGCTCAATTTACACACATGTGCTCATGCACATGCACACACACCCATACACATGAATTCATACAATGTACACAAAACAAACTTGTGTACTGGTATTCATGCATGTGCACATATATACATATGCACACAGCAAGGCCAGCAACAGGTGTGTGAGGAGCTCACACAGACCCACCGTGCCTGTGCGCAGCTTTTCCACATTTGAAAAGAAGCTCTAGGCCCACTGCCCACCCAACAAGGACTTCCCCACCCAAGGCACCCAGGGTCTCACCTCACCCCTGCAGGAGTTTCAAATGCTGACAGATAGAATGGCATGCTGCCTGTTAACAGGAACATAACCCAGGCGGCCCAGCCTAGCCTAGGTGCTAGACTAATCCCATAAACTTTCACCTATCAAGTCAGCCTTGAGCCCCAGCAAGGCACAGAGCCCTGGGTGGTTCCTTATAAGCAGAAGCACAGGGGAAGAGTCCCAGGGTAAGTGGCCACACATCTGGAAACAAAACTCACCGCAGTGCCATTGTTGTCCCGGAAGACTTCCTGGTTGAAGTAGTCAAAGAGCTTCTTTTCTAACTGGAGCACAACCTGCCAAGTCAGAGTGGCCTCAGTGCCCAATGGGTAGGCACATGTGTGTACGTGAGGGTATCACACCCTCCCACCCCTAGGTCTCCAGGCTCTAGGGTAACTACAAGGCCCTCATTCCCCTAAGCTGGGTATGGCCAGTTGTCACTGGCCCATAGTCATAGGTCACTTACCTTACGATCATTGTCTGACTCTCGAAATATCAACTTCACCACTTCGTTGGTGTCAGCAGCCCGAACCGTCTGCATGGTAGCCTTTGTGCAGAGAGTCTGTGGAAAGACATGGAGGAAACTCAGTCCCAGAAGAAAGTCAACTTGCCTGGAGCACTAGGCAGTGCTGCCCCCAAAGCCACAATTTCCTGACCTTTCCTGACCAGTGAGTGAATTCCTGGCCTCTCTAACTGGAGGGGAAGGTAGCTTGGTGTTGCTTCCCCCATGTGTTTCACACCTTGTGCTGAAGAATCCTACCCCATCAGCCATCCCTGGCCTACCCCCTCATAGTGGGATGGCCCATGTCTCCACAGGACCCTGGCTGGGTGTAGCTGGCACCACAACACAAACCAAAAAGTATTTTTGTGCTTCCACATGAAAGCAAAGTCTCGCCAGCAGTGCCCACAGCCAGGGCAAGTCTAACTCCTTCCTGCTCCTGCTCTGCTGCCCTGAGCTTCCCCAACTTGGGAGCCAGAGAGAATTTTTGAAAGGGAAGCCTGCAACTAGGTTATGGTGTGTATGTAAATTATAATCCAATAAATTTGTTTTTAAACAACAGAATACATAATTTTTACTTAAAAAGAAAGACCACTGGAAAAAAAAGAAAGAAAGAAAGAAAGACCACTGTAACAAAAGTAACTGACATTATAAAGTCTCTCCACTGCAGGAGCCAGCTCCACTGCTAGGAGGCCCTGGATCCAGGAGAGCTGGCTTAGGACTGCAGTTGACAAGTACATACTGAGTGTGAGCCTTGAAAGCTCTTTGGCAGCCCAGCCCAGCTCACGTGCTGCACTGTGCGGACAGAGCATCTACCCTACAGACACTGGGGACAAGGGACACCCTGGTGTGTACAGCATCCCAGCAGAGCTGCCACTCTGGAAGCATACTCCAGGATAGGCCATTGATATTCACTGGAAGATCAGCTAGCGGGGCCACACCTCCAGAGTGGCTTTTGGACCCCTGTGTCACAAATCAGTCTGGCCAGCTTAGGAACAGTGAGAGGATTAGGGCACATACCCAAACAACCCAGCTGAGCTTGGCCACCCTGCCCTTCCTGGGTCCCACGGAGGTCCCGGCCCCATCCAAATGCTAATGTGCTTAAGTGGCTTAAGCCCCTCGGTGAAAGGGGAAGGCTCCGTGCAGGCAGAAGGCCATTGTGGCTCCTTCAAGAAGCAGTTCAGGAAATTCATGGCTCTGTCTCCTGAAGGCATCTGCTGGAATCATTTTTAAAAACTGCTTTATCTCACCACTTTAGGCAACTCCCAAAGGACAAACATAGGATGATCCCCAGAGCCAGGCAAGGCCAGCAGCTCCTGCCCGCCCCCTTTCCCCTACACCCTCTCCCTTGGAGGTGCCTCATTCACATGTTTTAAAGAAGCGATCAGGGGCTGAGCATGGGCAAAGCCCGCCTTTCCCTTTCCTTTCCATCCAGGGAAGTCGTGACCACTCATGCAGAAAACTTCCAGGCCAGCCCTTCTGGCTCAACTACTACAGAAGGGATTCTGTTCTTTTGAAAGAAGAAAACAACACAAAACAAAAATACTCCAAGTACTATTTTTAACATCACATCTAAGATTTATTTCACTATTAGTAGCTATATGTAAGAACATTAGAAGGGTAGCCCAGCACAATCTTACTGGCCCTTAAAGGCCTGTTTTTTCTTCTGGAATTTTCTTCCTTGGTGTATCAAGGAAGTCCACCTGTTGTGTGGACAGTGGAATCCCTGATTTCTTCTTGTTTGGACAGCAACCAAAACATGCTGCCTAGACCCAGTGCTCCAGGCACTGGTGACAGCAGGAGAAGGCTGTTTTCTTCACAGTTGAATCACATAATTTTTACAGCCCATTTAATTTGCACAAAACCACCCAGTGATCAGATGCCCCGAAGCACACGTGTGTAATTGGGCTGCTCAACTCTTCCCAGGAACTAAAAAATCTGTCCTCTTACCCCCAACTCAACTGTCACAAATACTCCCCACAAAGTTCAAAACTCTATTAAAGGCAAACAAACTATCAACCCTAACAACTCCAGTCTTTTAAATACAATGTTAAAAAGCTCCTTTAGAAAAACAGAAATTATTCTGTGCTGACACATACAAATGAATACATGATATATGGGTATACCTGAGATATGACAATGCCAGCCACAGACTTGGGCCCCAACCTCAGAAAAAGAACCTAGTCTCCAATAGGGTCCTTCCAGACACCTCTTTACCACCTGTGGGAAAGGACACAGGGGTCCAAAGTGCATGGGGCTTTTTAGGACCAGGGCCAGCCCAAGGATGTTCCAGTAGCTGGTTCACAAAGATCTGCATTAGCATGTCCTCCTGGGCCTAACAGAGTCAGATTTGCAGGAGCTGGTAGGGCAGTATGGTTCCAGAGCTTAGGACAAGATATCTTATAGAAAATACATTCTTATGTCCTATGAGAATTTTGTTGTATAGTAGTAAGAGGCATATCAAGCAAATATATATATATTTATTTATTTATTTTAGATTTTTTAAAATTTTCTACCAGCAATGGAAACTAGGTAAGGCAGATCTAAGATCAGGGTGAAGACACAGAACTAGGTAGTAGTACTCTAGCAGTTTTTAACAGTTAAGTTGCTAAATGAGAATCAAAGTTATGACACATCTCCTGGGCACTTGTGCATCCATTTCCAGAGTGAGCAGGCATTTTTGGGAAGCATTTCAGTTTACATTTACCACCAGCTGGAGAAGTTTTGCCACCTGAAGTTTCAGAGGGTAGATTACCACTGCAGCGGGCACACCACTTAGCCATAGCAGGTGCTGACAGCAAGGGCTACCAAGGGGCACATGCACTATTGAGCAGCAGCCTGACATCCACAGGAAGGGCGGACTGGTTCCAAAGGATCACACAGCCCAGAGCTGGGCAGTCAGGGACCTCAGGTCAAGCCATCAGTCAACATTTTTTATGGGTCACTGGTACCAGCACTGGAGTGGCAGAAGACACATTACCTCTTCACCACACTCCGTGCCACATTTTGAGAAGAGCCAGGTAAACATGCTCTCTGCATTCCTGAAGCTGGTGAATATGTGGACATTTGGGCAGGTAACTAATATGGCTTCTTAGGGGAAGTACAGGAGGAAGTACAGCTGGTGGAAGCTCCAGATATAGAGATCCAGCCTGAGCAAAGGCAGGACAAGGTAGGGGTCTGAGCACAGGGAAAGGCCATGGAAAGCCCTTGGAGGAGGAAAGATGGTATAGGGTCAGGAGGGCAACAAGAGAATCCGCTTCTAGTCTAGGGATGGTGGACCTGCAGAGAGGTGATATAACATCATACAGGAAGTGGTCATGGCAGGGACACAGCCTTAGGAAGAGGGTAAATTAGAGCTGGACTGGGAGACAGAGTTGGTAGAACCACAGGGGTGGGGATTGATGTGGAGGAGAGACGGGGAGCGGGTACTACTCCTCAGATGAGCAGAACAGAAATGGAGGTATTCCCAGCACAGCTGGTGGTCCCTGCTGTGGGTCCCCACTGTGGCCTAGAGGGTCCCTTTTTTCCTCAAAGGAACAAAGACAGAGGAAATCCAAACATGCTCCCAGGAAGTTTATTTTGTATGAAAAAGACACTGCTTGGTGAAATAGGAATGGCAGGCCTTTGTTGTTGGCTTGTCCCCACAGACTATGATACTGCTGGGCTTCAATCTCTCATCTGGAGCCCTGGGAACCTTCACAGGCCTGCAAGGAACACCACTCAGACCACAGGACATATAATCTAAGGGCTGGGTTTGGTGCACAGCCTGAGCATAGGCACCACTGAGGCAGGAGTAGCCTGACGCCATGTTAAGGGTCTAGAGCCAGCTGAAGGTGTCTCCTCACAGGGAGGAATGAGTCCTAGGCAGTGTATGGCGTGTGCAGTGAGCCCTGGGGGCTCTAGTAATCTGAAAGTGCTCATGGTACCCCTCCTGCCATCTGGTCACGCCCCTTAGCCTCATGGCCAGTGCCAGGAGTGATGCAGTGTGCTGTAGAGTTACCCAGGTAGGGGAAGCTGCAGAGAAGGGAGGCTAGGCTTAAGCGAGCAGGATTCAGAGCCACTGGAAAAAGTCACCAGGCTTAGGAAATCTCTTTCTGCTGCAATGACTTAGTCTAATTCCTAGATTATTCCTTGCCAATTACTATGTTCTGTTTATTTGTTTTCTAAAGCAGACCATTTTGTGAATTGCTGGAGCCACAAACTCCCTCCCTAGGACCAGTGCCCAGGCTCTGCAGACAGCCCTGGCTCCACTTGGAGCTGCAGCTTGCCAGTACCTTCTGAGAGGGAGGCATCCTGGGTCTTGGCCCTCCCAGAGTAGTTGAGGAGCTCCATGAGAGAGTGCAGGGCCCAGCTCTCTGAAGGGTAGGTAAAGCCATCTACAGCAGATCAAAAGCTGACAGGCAAGGTGCTGCTGCCATTGTTTCTCTAACTGGAAACCAGTATCCATGGCTCTCCTGGAGCCACCCAGAGTATCCCAAGAGACAAGCACAAACACCACAAACTCCTTACTTTGGACTCTGGACCTAGCCACTTGCTCTGGCACACCATGTCCCAAAATGTGTGGGAGAAGTGAGGAGCCTGGTAGAAGGCTCTCTGATACCCACAGCCTGAGCCTTTTGAGGCCATCAGATAGAGCATTGTCTGCCCCAAGACAGTGCTCTGCAAGGGGTTGACAGCACCATTGTGTGGGCTGGCCCGTCACTCACCAGTGGCTGCACAAAGCAGTGAGGGCAAGGTTTAATCCTGACTCCAGGCAGCAGATAAAAACCAGCAGCCAGCTGCTCCAAGACTGTTTAAGGCACTAGCACCTCTTGGCCTCACCAAGGCCAAATGCTGCCCAGCTTCTTCACCTCCTCAAGAGCTACTTCTTTTTGCTTTCCCTTCAGGTGGGAGCAAGAGAGGTGACACAAATAACTACTTTTCTCCAAACTCAGACACATTATAGGGAGCTGCTGGGGGAAACATTCCAGTTCATTTTCAGAAACCATCCCCCAAAGAATTTTTTTCAAACTGAGACGTCCAGAAAAACACCATGCTGTAACTCCCACATCTACTTAGCACCC